CACCAGTTTGTTTTGACATGTGGCTTAATAAGCCTGTTGTTTCTAGTGGTGTGACTATTGGTATCATCTCCTGGATCCTTCTGACAATAGTATTTCTTCATAATCCATAAAACAGGATCCGGCTTCCTAGTCAGCTCATCTCACATCAGAGCAACAGGCTTTTGTTTCACCAGGAAAAAGCTTCTGGCCAAATATCTCATTTGATTGACTCTCCTACCTTCCCTAGGCCTACTGGTGACTACTAGTCTATTACTCCTTTTTGTTCTGGGAGTTTAACACAATAACCTGCTTTATCTCACCTAGACTGGAGCAAATGAACCTTCAGATGGTGAGCACGGATCCTCAAGTGAAGGTACTTGCTTTCCAACCTGACAACCTGTGCTTGATTCCTAGGACCCACATGGTAGAAGGTGAGAATCAACTGCAAGTTGTCTTCTGACCTATATACTCACATAAATAAATGTAATTTTAAAATTTTTTTTTCTCACTATGTAGCCCTGGCTGGCCTGGAACTCACTATATAGACTAGATTGGTCTTCAATTCAGAGAGATCCGCCTTCCTTTGGCTCCTGAGTGCTGAAATTAAAGACCTGAACCACCATGCCCTCACCCCCTTTTTAAAGATTTTATTTTATTTTTTGGCCTTTTTGAGACAGGGTTCCCCTGTAGCCCTAGCTGGCCTGAAACTTACTATGTAGACCAGGCTAGCCTTGAACTCACAGAGATCTGCCTGCCTCCGCCTCCTGGGTGCTGGGATTAAGTGAAAGGCTTATTTTATTTTTTATGTGTTTGTGTCTATGTGTGTGTGGATTCCTGTAGCAGCCCAAAGAGGATGTCAGATCCCCTAGAGCTGTAGTGGTACTGGGAACCAAACTCACGTCCTCTTGAAGAGCAGCAAGTGCTCTTAACCACTGAGCTACCTCTCTAGCTTCATATATCTTAAAAATATTTTATTATTTTTACTTTATGTGTATGAGTGTATTGCCTCATACATATAAGTGCACCCTGTTATACAATGCCTGCAGAGGTCATAAGAGGGCTCTTGGAGCCCCTGAAACTGGAGTTAAAAATGGTTGTTAGCTACCATGTGGGTGCCGGGAACCAAATTCAGGTCTTCTACTAGAGCAGCCAGTTCTCTTAACCAATGAGCCATCTCTACAGCCCCAACCAATGACTTTTTTTTTTAACTCAGATGATTTCACAAATGAAACCTGCTATGGAAATACCCACCATCCCATTCCCACCATGGACCTCTAGATTGGCCTTCCAAGGGTTATTTCCAGTTGCTAGGCATTTCTGTTATCCCCACCCAGCACAAAGCAGTCCGATCACCTCATCCTGTAATGGCAATAAGAGATTCCACTCTGGAGGGGAGGAATGAGACAGAAGGAGAAGGGCTGATGGTAGAGCATGAGCTAGTCGTGTAGCACACGTGACCTTTCCCCTGAAGGATGAGTAACCAAGGGAGCATGCATAAGGCATCTGGATTCCTTTCTGGTTTATCTCACTAAGAACAAAAATGATCAATTCCAATAAAAATTCCCTCAGTCTGTGTCCATTTCCACTATAAAACCTGTAAAAGGCCACTGACTGGGGCAACACAGCAGTATTCCTTTGTTGAGACCCCTGCCATTCTTGGGAGTTCTTTCTCAATTTTCCTTAATAAATCTTTACTTATTTTGCTCACTCCTCCCTCATCTTTCCTTACTTTTTGGTGTGAGACACATTTGGATATCTACTTGCTCGGGGTGGCTTTGGCAACCAATCGTCCCATATCCTAGCTCCCTGAGTTAAGCCCACCAAGAGCCAAGAAAGGCTCTGTCACTTTCAAAAAAACCTACATCAAAACTGTAAAAAGGGAGGCTGGAGAGATGGCTCAGCGGTTAAGAGCACTGACTGCTCTTGCAGGGGACCAGGGTTTGATTCCCAGCACCCACATCATGACTAACAACCATCTGTAACTCCATTTCCAGGGAGGAATCTGATGCCCTCTACTGACCTCCGAGGGCATTGCATGACACAGGTGCATTTACATACATGCAGGCAATACACTCATAC